GTCCTAAGAGGTGAAGGTGGAAAATCTCTCTTGGAGGAGTCATTGCTTACATTTTCAGTGACTTTTCAAGCAGTTAAATGCATCTGCAAGCATTTATGAAAAACACATCCTGCTTTATATCAACTCTGGTGAGCTCCACTGAAAAATTCCATCAAATTGCACTGAAATCCAACTTTTGGTCTACCTTCAGTGTTAACATTAGATTATGTGTTTAAGCTACAGTCCTTTTTCATAAATTCCAGTTTTTAAAACACAGATAATGAATGGACACTATGCATATTGCTTAACATTTTCATTCCACAGCCATATCATACCATTAAAAGAGATGGGTTTGTCTTTACCATTGATTTAAATCTGATTCTCAGGGAAATGTTTAACTACATTAGCAATTATGAACTACATTAGTTAGTTATGAAGTGCAGTTTATGATGCCCTGGTGGGATCAGGTCTTCTACAGAACAAAACTCAGTTTCCATTCCCTATGCAGGACAAAGTGTGAGCCATACACTATAAACCAGAAAGTGTGGGTATTACAACTCCTTCAAGTATGGTTTCAAAAGAATTTTGTTTCCACAGCTGATCACTTTATCTGAATATGTTTTTTTTCTGTAAACAGTTTTAAATGTATTACTTCTTCCTTTCCTAGACACATCCATTTTTTATTTTAATGTGGGGAAAATTAAGCAGAAAGCATTAAGACTAGGAAAATCTACTTCTAACTCTCAGTTTGCCTCTCCACTTCTACATCTTTATTGAACTGATTCACTGACAAATAGCTTAGCTGAAATCCCCAAAGCAAATCTTTTTCATGAATAACTTTAATTTTAGTACCCGATTAGAGAATAAATAACATCAGACTGTTTTTATAAATATTTCCTTGACATCAAATTTTATGCCATTATAATTTCCAAATCCCTTTGCATGGTTTCAGGAAGTTTTCCTTTCCCCTCCTGAGTTCACCTTACTCTTTTTTTATCCACTGTTGACTCAAAACGTTATGGTATTTAGTTTTGAGAAATACATGGTATGTGATGTTTGAAAAGTATGGAATAGGACTGAGATTTCCACACACAGAGAAATATTTCTTCATTGTTTGACATTTACCCAACAGCAGACAGGCAATAGTTACTACTCATGTGCAATTAGTGCTGATGCAGCAGAAAACAATATTCCTGCACCCCCAGTCTCTACCCAGGATGGTTATTCTGTGCTACATCAGCTTAACGATTGTGCAAGGGTCAGGCCAACATAAGAGCTTTTGGAGGAGTGAGATTAAGAATACCTTGCTACCTCATGAGTTTTAGGAATGATACTTAAAATTTGTATGGTATTTTTCCTTTTTTTTTTTTTTTTTTTTTTTTTTTTTTTTTTTTTTTTTTTTTTTTTTTTTTTTTTTTTTTTTTTTTTTTTTTTTTTTTTTTTTTTTTTTTTTTTTTGAGGTGATTTTTTCACTGCAAATAGACATGAAACAGATGTCCTAGGTTTCCAGAGCTGCACTCTGAGGTACATCTCATTTTTTTATAGAAATTCTCTAACTAATGAGAATCTTACTTTTTTACCAGAACTTGCATCAAAAGTACGTGTATTCTTTAGGCGCTTGGGAATGGAAAAAAGGTACATCAGCTTCTCTGACTGGGAATTAAGATGTAAATAGTGCTTTGAAGTGGAAGGTCTTCCAAAAAATTCAAGATTAACTGTTTTAGATAAAATGCACAGAAATATTCAATAATTAATCAATTAGTGGGAACTAAGAGATCTACAACTTTCTCACTTTTCTTATATCTTTTTACTTTCTGTCTTTCTGTCATTTTAAAATATTGTTTTTTATTATCTTTACAGTTCTTCCACCTTCTGCTTCCTTGTTCCCTGTCTTTTTATGTTGGGCTTTTTTCTTTTCTTTTTCAGGACAACATAACTGTCATCAGTGGAGCTACCTGAGGAGAAATTTTTTCTAGCTTTTGGTGCAATTGCACTTACTAGGGAAGATTTTTGGGTTGTAGGGTGGGATGGGAGGATATAGGTGAGTGATCTGAAGGAGACTGGAGAATACAGCATCGCAGAGAGCATACACATAGTCAGGTTTCTGTACCTCTCAAAACCAAAACTTTCTAAGAACTGAGGTAGCATATACTACAAACCCTCAAAATTACCAACATAAGAATGTAATCAACAGCAGAAAAAAACCCGTTTGTTGTAATCACTTAAGTAAATGGACCATATATAGTTAAATAAAAAATACCAGACATTATTTTGTCCGGTCTAGATATATCGAGCGTTCTTCTGCGCGAGTGTTGAGTTATCCTAATAAATACTGGAAAAACAGAGGTCTAATAAAACCTGATATTTATGATTAAAAGTCTCTTGGACTTCTTTGAAAATGTTTGCTGCAACGGAGAGATGCAGGCAGGTCCTGCTTAAAACCCTGGATATTTGGGTTCCTGTTGAATGTGATTTTATGCCTCACAAAATATTTGCCTCATATATGATCAGTGTGAACCTGAGATTTAGTTTAATGCACTGGTAAGTTGCATTGATCCAATATATTAATATAATCTGCATTTCAGTCGACTTTTGAGTAAAATTGTCACAGAGAACTGGAACTGCTAAACTATTGACATGTTTGCTAGTCACACACTTGACGGCTGTGTGACATATTTTTTATCAAGCTTTCATACTTTCTCTCTATTTGCTCTTTTATGCTCCCCTATCCCTGTGTTTTGTGGTATGGTGTTTCGGTAATATCTAAATTAAAAATATTTTGCTCTCACTTGATATTTTAATCAGAAATTAACGGGCTTTTTTGTGAAAGCTGAGAGAAGCATAGCATTGCAAATGAAAATTTAAATTGTAAATTCTTTCTCAATCTTTACAGCCTTATACAGACAAATTTAACTGAGCTGCCAATATTTTTTTTATACTGATATTCTGTTAAATCCACTGCAAAAATCACAGTGCTCTGAAAACCATAACTGGGGATTCATTCCTAAACATACTTCTATGGAGAAGATATATAAACATCTCAAAGCTATGAAGAGAAGATAACACAGTATGATATATTTAACAACTACTGGGAAAAAAATGCTTAAAGGGGGAAAACACATTCCATGACTTGATATCTATTTAATGTTTAGATAATCTGAAGAAAAGCTAGAGGAATCTTCCCTCCCTACTCCCACAGAAATAAAATAAGTGTAATTCTAGTGCATATTTTTCTGATTCTTTCTGGGCAGTGCACACACAATGGTGATTTGTAGAAACCCAGAGATTTTTTACTAGGACGTCAGTGAGCAACCATAATTGTGTTTTCTCCCTAATGAAGTCAATTCATTACAAAGGTATAACTAAGTTAAAGCTTGTCTCTAAGGACTTTGTTTCTTTGCCTGTGGGGTTCACAGTGTTCTCTGTGATTCTTTTTTTTTTTTTTTAAGGATCATCTTTTTCAACTGGAATCGCACAAATTTGAGAGAGGACGAGGCAGGTGCCCTTTTGACCCCAGTTCTTCCTTCACCTCCATCTTAATTGGTAATGATTTTTATGTCACAATCTTCACGGTCCTGTCAATCTGTCATTCTGAGCCTCTTTCTTCAGCACTCCGAAGTGTTGTCAGTCTTCCATTGCAACCTTCCACATGTCAGACTTAATCCTCATGGTGCTGCCCACATTAATATTACATTCCAGGCAGCATTAACTGCAGCAAGGGTGTCACAGTGAAGTGAGATGTTGAATGACATGTGCCATCCTGAAGGTAATTGACTGTTGTGTAATTTTGGAATTAATAATTTCCTTCTTTCCTTAAAAGTAAAGCAACATGCCTAACTTGGACATTTACACTGCTGAGACAAATACACCAAATTTACTGGTTTTCGTCTACTAAGAATCTGAACTATAAGAATCTTGTAAAAATTTGAATTTAACTTTTTTTATTGCTTATACAAATTACCTCTTTTGAGATAAAATAGATTTCTTTTAAACTCTACCTTCTAACAAAACTATCCCAAAGTGGTGATTCTGTATTAGAAAGGTTGATCTTATACTCAACTGTACAAAGATAGAGTTTAGTATGTCCTGCAGTGCCAGGAAGCTGTGTTGAGATAGTGCTCCTTGCTGGTGAGTATATCACTGTAGGACTGGGATCTTTGAAGTTGTGATAGCAAACAATATCTTTTTTCCTCTATAATGTTTTCTTGAAAACATTTTGTGAGATCAAGCAAAGACATTCTTAGCAATATTATAGTACATTGACTAAAGATAGCCAGAAACAGCAGGTAAAGGGTGAAAGCTAGATGCAGTTAGGGAGTAATACAATGATGATTTCTGGTTTTAGAAAACATAAATAAAAACTGAGCATTCAAAAAGAATATTCATTAAAAGAAAGAAAGTTAGAAGAAAGAGGCAAAAGATTAAATAAATTTTCTACTTTTCAAGGATAAAAAAGTTAGAGGATTGATCCTTTTGATATTTATATTTGGCTTTGCATCTTAAAATAAGGCAGCTAAAGTTTCTGATCATTGACTACAACCATATGGTTCACCCTTGACGGTGAGGAGGAAGTGCTGGTCATGAGTGACAGGTGTATTTTTACATGCCAGATTTATTTGTTCCTTTGCATTAACAAATTAATCAGAAGAAGAATCTTCAGCAGTAATGTAAAATCTTTCAAATTGCAGCAATTCATCAAAATATTCCTCCTTGTCATTAAAAAAAAAAAAAAAATAGAGCTCTAATTCTTAAGAGTTAGTGGGTTAAAAAGTCATGCAAGAATCAGAAAAACCTGCTGTTTTTTGACTGACCTTCCAAAATCCATGAAGCACAGATTGTTACGCTTTTATCCCACCCTGACTCCTAAATTGTTTCTACAGTTTTCAACAGATTCCAGTCTTAGCTCAGCCTGGGAACAGGGACTCATCCCATGGAATTTGCTGTAGACCTGAAATCTCACGGTCTAATCTTGAAGTCCAGCCTTTCCTCAGATAGAACTAAGTAAATACATTAACCCAATCATGTTCCTACTGTGAGATCAATATGAATTTTATTTGCTTAAATGGAAGCCAGATTGTCCCACTGAGCACTTCAAGAGTTTGCCTGAATTATGGGAGGTCCTATGGATCCTCTTATCTGAAGAAGAAATTCATTAAATAAGGCATTCCCTGATAAATGCTGATCAGGGTCTTGAACACCCACTGACAAAGACATAAAAACAATCTTACAAAGCTAATAATTCTATAATGTGACAAGATTAACAGGGGAAAATAATATTTTTATCCGATCACTGATACAGCACCAAAAATCAGACTAAATTTCACCCCTTCATCAAAATTAATATGACCTGAGAAAGGCATTTAGAGGCTGTTTTTCCCAGCATACATTGGAAATGCTATAATTTCAAGTGATTATGGAATGATATTCTAAAAGCATAATGGAATTCTTTAAAGAGTTTATTATTTTATTTATATTTTTACATTTTTAACTATTGCAGTTAAGTATTTCCAACACTTAGGAAAAATATCTTAAGGAAGTTTGAATTTCCATGTGTTCTACTTTATTCTACCAACTTCTACTAACCACAGACACGCAGTTTACAGAATAAACAAATTTAATTCTGCTCCTTAGACTGCAGGATGTATATTCTTTGTCTCTGTAGGCAGCCAGTTGAAAAGGGTAGAAGACATAGATGCAAACACTGTGAATATTAAAAATCTTTTAATTGAAATTTGAAAATGAGATAGATTTCTAATGCCAAGTGTAATCTTTCATTCAAACAAACCCTGATCACAGCTCATGGTGACCATGACCCCATGACAGGAGATGACAAATACTGCTTGCATCCTCCAGGACTGATCTTTCCGGACTTTCCTCCAGTGCTTGGAGGTTCAATTCCTCTTCCTGCACTCCCAATTTTCTTAGAAAGTGGAATCCGCTCCTCGTATGAAGTCTGTGTGCCCTTGGAGGCCGCACCCCAGAGTTATCTCCACTCTCCCATGTAGGTTCAGCCAGTGTTCATGTCCTTGAAAAGGTTTTATGCAAACCCGTTAGCAAAGGCTTTCACAACCCAGCATCCTCTTCTTCCTACGGAAACTACTCAAAAGCTGCTCCCACCACTGCCATTCACATTAACACAGCCCACACCAGCATGGTAATGTAGGCTAACAGTGAGGATTTGGCTAACAAGGAAACTTTTCATACCTCTGATAAAAGTTTAAAAGCTTTCAAAATCTTGATCTTGAAAGATCATTTGCAACATAAGTAATTAGAACCAGATTTAGCTGGATTAACTGAGGAAGAAAGAAAATCCCTTTTTCTGCATCTCTTCATGTGTTTCAACACAACACTTAAAACACCCACTTCAAGAAAACAAGTTCGTGACTTGGCTTTAAAACTAAGTATCTGTGTTGTTGCAAATTTTATTGAAGGTTGTCTGACCCAGTGGTAAAGTAGCTTGTGATGAATTCCTCAATTTATGAACAATTAACTTTTACCGATTTATTAGCATCAGGAAAGAGAATAGATACTGGATGGCAAACCAGCTGAATAAAATGTGTATGTTTAGCTGAATGGATTATAAAACTTTTGGACTTCTATTCCTAATGAACTCTAACATCTGCTTTCAATAGCTAAAACTACTTTTTATATCAGATCATGCACACTGATTAACTTGGACCACACTACCCCTTGAAAGCTGAGAAATTAGTTTAAGTCCATGTTTTGTTACCTGCAATATATCACGATCAAGTGGTGAAAAACCTAAACTCCATCTGAATATGTTAAAATACAGGGAATCGTTTCCAATATTATTTTCTGCCTTTACAGTTTTAAAACAGTTTTAGGTATTTGTGTCTTTTTTTTACTCTAGGCAATGAACTAAGACAAATACATTTTCTCTCAAAACAAAAGACAGAATACTTGAGTGACAGACAGAAAATACAAATATACAGAGGAAGTTTACCAGCTAAGCACTTGATAATTTCTTTTGAGTTTGCTGTTTTCCTGCAGTGAGAAGTATCACTTGCTAAAATGTGAATTAGTGTTCTGATTTTATTTGTCATGTGAGTAATAACTGACTGACAGTCAAAGAAATACATGAAAGATTCTACTCATTATATTCTAATCCTTTATTCATAACATGAATTTTCCATTTTACAGAAAAATAATTACTGATGAATAATAACTTGTGTCTCTATTGCCTTTGCATTTGAAATAGGCACACAAAAAATGCCAATAACAAATGAAGGAAACCCACCTTTAAGGTGGAAGCAGCCTATTTATAGATATCCTTTATATATATTATTTTATTTCAATTAAATTGCATGCTTCAATCTATTTTACTTTAAGGGTTGTTGACTAAGAATTTTGAAGGGTTTAAAAGAAAATTTTATATTTGATTTGGTAAATATTTTGCTCTGAGAAAAAGGGAGAAATAAAGGTATTTTTTAAATGGTTCCAAATCAATTTTGACATATTTGTTTCTTGAAAACAGTGTTAGCTAAAATGTATGCATGTATCACTTGAGCTAAACCTGGTCTTTGAGGTCCATGAGAGATTTTTTTGTTTGCTTAAATAAGGAAATAAGAAAGTTTCTATAATCATGCTATTCTAGCATGATTAACCAGGCTGTGTTAAAATTTGAATTCCAGCAATTAATTTGTTATATATACATGAAGCTAAGGTTAGACTAGAAGCGGGGAGGAGTAGTGAAAGTCTGTGAAGTTACTCTACTGATTTTACTAGAAGGTCCAGGTTAATCAGTGTGATGTGCAGCAGTTTAAAGCCCTGCAATGAAGATGGGAGTGAGTTGATAGCAGATTTTCAACGAAGAAGAAAAGAGTAGAAATCTTGCAGAATCCTTCAAACATCAGTCTTAGGTTGTCACTGAATCTGGATTGGTCACCACCTGTAAAAACCTAGTTGTGTTCTAAATTTGTAACTTGGATTTAAAGGATAAGCAAAACACTATTGGAAAGGACAAGGGAAGATCCTTTTAGTGTTAAAAGTGCAAAAAATCTCAAAATTGTGTTATTATGCTGAGACATTTGACAGTCACATCAGTACTGTCCCATTGCTGTCCTTGGGTGAAGTGACCTGTCTGCTCACACTTGATACTTGTCTTATATTTAGCTTAGTAAGAGTTCAGGGTAAAAATCAGGATTAATTTCTGCATTTGAACGCTATCTGTCATGGAACATTATCCATCCAGGACTTCCATTTTCTGGACATCCATTTTCTCCCCCCAGGACTGCACAGATATAGTCAGTGATAACTTCCTCCATGTATGGCAGAATGCCATACCAGTAAGTTGGTTACCTATACCACATTTTATACCTATGCAAAGCAGAAGGAATAGACTTCGTATCCAAGCATCTGAACATCTGCATTTACAGATGTCAGTCCTGATCACTGGTAATATATGATGAATCATTTACCCTGCACTGATGCACTTGCCAAGATTCACTGCAGTTTTGAAAGGATAAAACATCCTGTTTGCATTACACATCTCCAAAATTAAGAAGAATGCCAGCCAGTCTGATATATTTTTCCAACAGAATTCTTAAAGGGGGATTTATGACTAACGTAACTCTTTAATTAAGGTTGTGCAGATTGTTTGGAACACTTTATAGACACTGGCAGATTCTGTGGTTTAAGCAGCTCTGTGCTGTTTAAAAAATAAAACCCTCTATTAGTTTTGGGCAACCTTAACTTCTACAGATGCTATAGTTTATACTTAATTTTTATTTGGTTTGCCAGTATTTTACCCTAAATCATGTCCATACATTTTACAGGGCAATATCTAAATAATGAAGTCCAAAGTAAAACTGTGCTCACCTCCAGATCAGCAGAGGTGTCTAAACCCAGATATCACGCTAAAGTTTTCAGAATACTGAATTCATGTTTATGGAACCCTTCATATATGGAGGTACAATTGTACATATGTATCTCTTAAAACCATAATGCACACTTTGAGGGAGACCAAAAAAACAAAATTCTTGCTTTATTTGCAATGAACCTTTATAAATGCCAGCAAATGCTATCAGAATGGATCAATCATGTTTATTTTGATTAATGGGAAGGAAGTTGTGTCACTGAAACTTCTACTCAGATTAGCCTCGAACTGGAAATAATTTATTTCCCTCTCTTTGTGCAATTTAATTCCTACTGTGTTACTTTCTAACATAAGGATGCCACCTAGTGACAATAGCTGCCTACTTCTTAAATTGGCACTAAAAAATTTCTCATCCAAGTCCACAATGATATGAAATATGTTATTGTTAATTTTTGGTCAGCTAAGGGGAATAGTGTCTATACATAAATAAAAGGTATAACTATTGTTGGTATTTTACTAACATGGTGTATATATATATATATTTACTTTAATAATATGGCCTTTTACTAAGGTAAAATATGTCCAGCATCACAATTTTAG